TCTGTTAATATAATGAATTACATTGATTTCCATTTGTGAGATAAAGCCACATTGTTGTTTTCATTTTGAAAATTTAAGACTTTTTGCATCTGTGTTTGTAAGGGATACTGGTCTATTGTTTTATTTTCTTGAAATGTCTTTGCCCTGCTTTTAAAACAGGCAATGCTGTCCTCACAGAATGCACTGTGAAGTACATCCTACTCTCCAATTTTCTGGAAGAGTGTATATAGAACTGGTATAATTTACTTCTCATACGTCTGGAAGACCTCAAGAGTGAAATCATCTGAGCCTGCAGTTTTCTTTGTGGGAAGGTTTATAATTACAAATTCGATTTCTTTAGACATTAGGGCTATTCAGGTTATGCTTCTTCTTGAGTAAGCTTTGGTAGTTTGCTAATTTCAAGAAATGTGTGCATTTCTTCAAAAGTTGTTGAATTATTAACAGAAACTTATTTATAATATTTGCTTGTTATCCTTTATACATCAGTAGAATCTGTAGCGATGTCACCTTTCTTCATAGTAATTTGTACAGAATCTGATTTCTATCTGCTATGACTGTCCTGCTTGAAAGATTTCTTTAACATTTCTAGTAGTTCAGGCCTGAATATGATAAATTCTTTTCCATTTTTTTATGTCTAGAAAGGTCTTTATTTTGTCTTGCCCAGGGACAGAATCCCAGGTTGCTGCCTTTTTTCCCCCTTTGAGTACTTTAAAGCTCTTGTCTCATTGTCTTCTTAGGAAGATTTCAGATGAAAAGTCTCTCATCATCCTCATCTGTCTTCATTCCTTTGTACACATCTTTTTTCTCTGTTGCTTTTAACATTTTCTCTTTATCACCAACTTTAAGCAACTTGATTATAATATGCTCCAGTGTAGTTTTTGCGCTTGGGTTCACTGAGTTCTCAGAACTATGGTTTTACAATTTTCACAAAGTTAAGGAAAATTTCAGCCATTATCTCTTCATCTATTCTTTTAATCGTATCTCCCCCTTTGCTGACTCCAATTACTTGGATATTAGCCCACTTGAACATAAACCACAGCTCCCTTACAGATTGAGTTATTTTACCCCGAGAACTTTTTCTGTGTTCTTCATTTTGGATACCCTCTATTGTTATGTCTTCAAGTTCATTAGTCTCTTCTTCAGCAGTATGTACCTATAATTAATCCCATCAACTGTATTTCTTCATCTTAAATATTGTAATTTTCCTCTCTAGGAAATCTGATTTAGATACCTTTTAAAATCTTCCATGTCCTGTATTTAACTTGTTCAATCTCTTCTCTAGCTCAGGGATCTGCAATTACAATCATAAACCAAATCTGATGCACCCCTCTTTGTGACAGAAAATTGTACTCCAGCATACAGACATGCCCATTTGTTTACACATCGTCTGTGGCTATTTTTTTTACAAAAGGGCTGAGTAGTTACAACAGAGGATACATGGGCCACAAAAACTAAAATGTTTACCACCTGATCCTTTAACGAAAAAAAAATCTCAAACTCCTGGTCTTAGCACACTGAACACATAGAAGACAAATACAATAACTGCTTTAATGTCTTTGTCTAATTCCATCAGATGTTGTCACTGCTGGGTTGGTTTTAATTGACTGAATTTTTCCCTCATTATGGATCATATTTTCCTGCTTTTTTGTATGACTGGTATATTTTAATTATATGTTAAGGCACAATAAATCTGACTTCTGAGTATTTGATACTTTTCTATTCCTGTAAATATTCTTGACCTTTGTCTTGGTATATATTTAAGTTACTTGGAAAGAATTTGATCCTTTCAATCTTGTTTTTGAGTTTTTTAACAAAACTTTTACCTAACAGTAAAATCAGCAGCATTTGGTGTTGGCCAAATTTTGCACCATTGTTGAAGGAAAATCCTGCTGTGAAGTACTGTAGTAGATGCATCATGAATTATATTTTTCCACTTTAGCTAGTGGGAACAGGCAAGTTTGTAGTATGAGCTTCAGGATGTTTTTCCCCTCTAAATCTTTAGCTTGATTTTTATCCCCCAGCCTTGGGTAGTTTCCTCACACTTGTGTGTTGATCGATACTCAGCTGAAGATAAGAAGGGACCTTCTGCAGATCTCCGGAACTACATAGCTCTTTCCTCTCCAGCTTTCTGCCTGGGAACTCTAGCCACCGTGGACCCCCGGATTCCCAGCTCCATCTCCTTGGCTCCAGGTGCTTCCTAGGCTCCACACCTGGATTCCTTCTCCCTACATCATGTCCTAGAAACTCTCTAGGTACTAAGTTGGGGCAACTGTGGAGCTCACCTCACGGGTCTCCTGTCTCTCAAGGCTCACTGTCCTTTCTTGCCTGCCATCTGGTATCTTGAAAAACATTGTTTTAATACATTTTGTCCAGGTTTTTTCAGTTGTTTCAGTTTGGAGTAATTCCAGTCCCTGTTACTCCATTTTGGCCAAAAGCAGAAGGCTTAAAAGCTTACAAAAATTTTCCAAACAGGGAAAACTGCTTAAAGAGTAAATGGAAAATCATGATAAAGTAAACAGGGCCTAATTATATTATTGTATATATTTAAGGAAAGGAAAATTTCCTTATGATATTTATTACCATCACAGTGACTGCTATTTTTACAGAGGTATCCCCATTAAAAGCAAGTGATTTACTCACCAAAATATATTCTATGGTTAGGAGTCATTCCAATCTATTACTACTGGTAATAAAATAAAATAATCTATTAAACTATAAATTTCAAAATGTCCATAAATGTGAATTAAATAATTCTGCTTCAAATTTCTTCCTGATATATACAAACAAGTAATTGTATATAATGTCTTTAGAGAAAAAAAAAAAAAAAAACCTTTCTAATTTAAGTAATTTCAGACTTCTAGGAAAGTGGCCAAAGTAGGCAAAGAACTGTACTAGTCCCCTTTCCTCCAGACTCCCCAAATATCAGTATTTTACCATATTTGCATATTATGTTTTTAAACAATTTAAGGGCTCATTGTAGATATACAGCCCCTGAACCCAAATACTTCAGTGTTCATTTCCCCAAAACAAAGACATGCCCATATACAAGCATAATGCAATTATCACTGATACAATACTTGTATATACAGATTTTATTCAAATGTTGCCAACTGTCCCACAAATGTCCTTTATTTGGAGTATGGAAGGCAGTGTTGAGAAACTAATGCCCTTGGACCAAATCAGAACAGCCACCAATTTTTCTAAATTAATTTGAGCTCAAATACAGACATTCCATTCATTTATATATTGATATCTATGGCTGATTTGGGGATGTAAGAAGAGATGAGAAGTCACAACAGCCTCAGTGTGGCTAAGTCTAATACGTTTATTATCTGGCCCATTATAGAAAAGTTTGCTAACTCCAGCTTTAAAACAAAAGAAAATTTTTTTCCCGGTCCAGAATTTAGGTGAATTTAGTTGTCATGATTTTTTTGGTCTCCACTAGTCTGCTATTCCTCAGTCTTTGTTTTTCGTCATCTTGATAAAAGTCTGAAGAGTAAATGTTGTTTACTTTATAGAATGTTCCTCATTTGTGTCTGTTTCCTCATGCTTAGATGTAGCTTGTGCATTTTTGGCAGGAACATCACAAAAGCGACATGATGTTATCCTCCTGAGGATGCACATGATGTTTATTTGTCCGCTACTAGTGATGTTAAATTTCAATCACTTCATTAAGGTGATATCTGCCAAGTTTCTTCACTGTCATGCTCCTTTTGTTCCCTTTATAATTAATGCATACTTTGTGAGGATACACTTAGAGACTAAGTAAATGTTTGTTTCTCATCAAACTTTAAACCAATAGTTTTTCTGCCTGAAACAATTATTACTGTAGTGGTTGCCAAAGTGTGATTTCCTAGTTCCATCATTCCTTCTACATTTATTAGATGGAATTCCGCTATAAGAAAAATTCCTAGCCTCCACTACAGAGTCATTTCTTTAACTCAGTGTAGACTTTTAAACTATATTTCATTCTGTGGGTTCTATTACTATCATTATTTATTTTGAAGATTAAAGTGCTCATGATATGGCTAAGGAGAACCTATTTAAACTGGCTCCCTTTCTGTGTCCTTGTAGCATGTCTCCATCATTCTTTGAGTACAACATTTTTTAAATAATAACAATAATGTGGAAATAACCCAAATGGCCATCAATGTGAAATATTAAAGAAGGAGCAGTGTGAAGGCAATAAAAGACTACGGAGATATGAAAGAGAACAAGGTAGAGGATGCACAGTTAGGTGGAGTTAAAAGGTCCAGAACGATGGTAGAGTATGATGCCAGACTTAAGAAAAGAAAAAGAAAAAATGACAACGATATGCTGTATAAGCATATATATGCATATAATTTTATATATTTAATATATATACATAATATATATATATATAAGCATATATATGCATATAATTTTCTTGAAAGATACTAACAATGCAGGATTAGCATTAACTCTAGGGCTGTAACTGTGCAACAGGTATCTTTTTTATTTACAAATGCTGATTGAAAAAATTTTAAATCATTTAAGACTAATCCTTTCAAATTTAATATTTGTAATTAAAATGTATATTGTAAAATTAATTCGCATAATTAGAACACAATGTAGTATTTATAGTCTCCTTAAAATGGTTAAAATCTTATATTTCTTTAAATTTTTTTAAAGCATTTATCTTTCAAGTTTCACTTATAATCAATAAATTATGATTAGCTAAATGCAGCTAGATTGGCCGGATATCGGAAGCTATCTTTACATTGTTGCCTTTGTTATGTTCACTATATCATACTCAAGATTACTTCTTAAAAGGTTTCATTTTCCCCTTTGAACTATACCCGATTAGCCTGGTTTTGGGGGGTGGAAGGTGGGGGGAGGACGTAGGGAAGGATGGGAAGAAGCTTATGATCTAGATACCAGTATCTGAATCACTTCAAGAGCACCTAATATCATTTTTAAGATGACAGGATCTGGTATTTTCATTTAATGTTTGGGTGAAAGACTAATATAATGCTTACCTAGTGAGTCGTTTAGGTGGAGGCCGCTCACCAAATTTTCTGGAAAAAATAAGAAAAATAAATAAATATATATAGGCTGTTATTCCACAGGAAGCTTTTTAGGCACCATGAAATCTCCTTTGCGATGTATACTTCAACTCTACTAAGAACAGCACAAAGGGACGGACGTCCTTTAGCAACCATCCTTACCCAGAAATAACAAAATACATACTTTAAAAATGGTTTCTAAACAAAAACAACACACCCTAAGTACGCCTTACATACCCACTCTGAGCATGTAGCACAATGATCAGAGGAGTGTGACCAATACCTCCTAGAGACACCTTGCAAAAAACCCCCACAACTAACCAAAGACACCCAGTCTCACACAATCTGCAGCACTCAGAAAAATCCTCACAGCCCAAGAGGTGGTACAGAGCCTACCAGTGTCTGTCATGTGCCAGGCACTTTGCTATACATATTTTATACATTACTCTTTTTAATTAATATAAAACAATTCTGTAAAGCACATATTGGCCCATTTAAAAAATGCAGAAAGCAACTTGCCCACTAAGTAAGTTAAGTGGCAGGCAGAGTTGAAATTTAAACCCAGCTGTTGATAAATAATACCAAAGTTTGTATGGAACCATAAAAGACCAAGAATAGCCAAAGTTATCTTGAAAAAGGAGAACAAAGCTAAGGGTCTCACAATTCCAAATTTCAAGATATACTACACAAAGCTGTAGTAATCAAAACAGTATGGTACTGGCACAAAAACAGACACATAAATCAATGGAACAGAAAACCCTGAAATAAACCTGTGTTTATATGGTCAATTAATCTATGACGAAGAAAACAAGAATATTCAATGGAGAAAAGGGTCTCTTCAGTAAGTGGTGCTGGGAAAGCTGGGCTAGTACATGCAAAAGAACGAAACTACACTACTTTTTAACAATACATACAAAAATAAACTCAAAATGGATTAAAGACATAAATGGGAAACCTGAAGGCATAAAAATCCTAAAAGAGAAGTAGGCAGTAACGTCTCTGACAGTGGCCACAGCAATATTTTTCTAGGTAGGTCTCCTAAGGCAAGGGAAACACAAAAGCAAAAATAAACTATTATGACCACATCAAAATAAAATGCTTTTGCACAGTGAAAGAAACCATCAACAAAACAAAAAGGCAACTTACTGAATGGGTGAAAATATTTGCAAATGATATATCTAATAAGGACTTAATATCTAAAATGCATAAAGAACTTCTACAACTCAACACCCAAAATAATCTGATTAAAAATGGGCAGAGGACCTGAATAGATATTTTTCCAGACATACAAATGGCCAACAGACACACGAGAAGATGCTCAACATCACTAATCATTAGGGAAATGCAAATCAAAGCCACGAGACAGCACCTTAACACCTGTAAGAATGGCTAAAATAAACAACACAAAAGATAACAAGTGTTGGCAAGGATATGGAGAAAAAGGAACCCTGCGCACTGCTGGTAGGAATGTAAATTGGTACAGTCACTGTGGAAAACAGTATAGAGGTTCCTCAAAAATTAAAAACAGAAATACCTTATGACCCAGTAATTCCACTACTGAGTACTTAACCAAAGAAAATGAAAACACGATTTCAAAATGATATATGTACCCTTTTGTTTATTGCAGTATTTACAAGAGCCAAGGTATCAAAGCAACCTAAGGACCAGTGATAGACAAATGGATAAGGAAAATATGGTGTGTACACACACACACACACACACACACACACACACACACACACACACACACAGAATATCATGAAGACATTAAAAAAAAAGGGGGGGGATCTTGCCATTTGAGAAAACATGGATGAACCTAGAGGGTATTACACTATGTGAAGTAAGTCAGATTGAGAAAGACAAATACCCCATGATTTCATTCATATGTGAAGTTAAAAAAATAAAAAATCAGAATCCGACTTATAAATATAGAGAATAAACTGATGGCTGCCAGAGGGAAGGGAGTGGGCGGTGGGCAAAATGGGTGAGGGGGAGCAGGAGACACAGGCTTTCAGTTATAGAATGAGTAAGTCACAGGAATAAAAGGCACAGCATAGGGAATATAGTCAACGACACTGTAATAGTGTTGTACGGTGTCAGAATGTAACTACACTTACGGTGAGCACAGCAGACACAGAGGAAAGTTCAATCACTATGCTATACAGGAAACTAATGTAACACTGTGTCAATTATATGCAAACAAAATTAAAAAAAAAAAAAACCTAGATGTTGACTACTCAAGAAGCTTATAGTACATGGCCCTTCAGAAAGAAATAGCCTAAGTGGACAAACAAAAGCATTTCAACTGGTTATAAGAGGGCAAGGAGAAAAGCTTGAGCAAGGGTCAAGAAAGCACAATTTAGGCTGCAATTATAATACAGCACGGAGGTTAAGAAAAACTCTCTAGAGTAAAATTAGCTGAGTTCAAATCCATGATTTAGTATTTTCCTATTGTGTAACTTTGAAGTTACCTGACTCTCCAGACCTTAGTTTCCTCACATGGGAAGAAGGCACCGTGGTGTTGAAGGGATTAAATATGTTAATATTTAGAAACACACAAAATAGTGCCTGGTATGCAGTAAGTGCTCAACAAATGTTAGTCATTATTACTACACTTTTGTTATAAATTGGCAAGCCAAAATTATGAAATAAGGAACTAAGCGTGATGTTAATAAGAATAAATAAGTATAGAGGAAGAAGAAACTAACTTCTACGTGATGACCTATTTCCACTGCGAGGTTCTCTAAGAGATGGTGGAAGCACAACACTTGAAAATGGACCGATAGAATTGTGTTTTCAAGCAGATTGAAGTTACAAACAGGCTAAGTGACTTGCTCATAATCAGTTACAGGTTGCAAAGCCTAATTTGACTTAAGAGTTCTCTACTGTACTTAATGTCCCACAAAATTATTAACTTTGATGATAAAAGCCTTAGCATCTGATGTAGTACATTTTGTTGTGTAATTTAATGCCATATGACATTGTTTATGAACTCAGGATTTATAAACAATGGGTATCTGTGACTACATTTTTGTTAACCCTGAAATACTGAAATAGTATTCTAACTCAAATAGTACAAAAATATGAGTGTAAACAATCTAAGTTTCTGTTGGAAGAATTACTTATTAGTTCTTTGATTTTACCCTGCAGGATATTCAATTTTAAAAACCAAGAAACAAAACACAATGTTTTAGCAGCAACATCAGCAGGGCCACTGAAGACCACACATTCTAAACCACTGAACTACTGAAAAACAAAAAACAACAACAACAAACACTCACTGAACTACTGGCTAATCTGTAAATTTCAGTTCTGGAATTAAAGCTGAAAATCTACTCCTGAATCTTTTTCCAAACGGAAGACTTTTTTGAATTTTTCAAACTGATTACACGTACCATTAAACTGCCTTACTACGTTAGATATAGTTTACAAAAACCAAGAAGTTTAAGACAGCCTTTAAAATATTTCTTTGCATATACTATGTATGTAAGAAAGAGCACAGTTGCACTTTATAAAGACAAGCAAAGCGAGGTGGTTAAAATGGTGAAAATTTTACAGAGACACAGCTAACGAAATAAACAAAACTTTCCAATGGAGATCATGACATGGTACCCTTCATACTAGCATTCCATACTAATATTCCAACCATCAGGCACCCTTTTGGATCTGACATAGCTTTATTACAGGACGAGTAAGAGACCCACTGTACTCACAATTGAAACATAAATTTTGTTTCTCGGTGCTCTGAAATGCTTTCAAAATTAGATTAACAACTAAGTGTTAATTAAAATATCTGTCTCTATTCCTTTTTGGAAATACCCCTTGGATGAAATCAACAATTACACAACATTCTCATGCAGAATCCCTCCTGCCCCTACAGAAAACATGAGCAAGAGAACTCAGCAAGTTTGCATGTTGAGCTTGGAAAAGCACTTCAAAATTTAGCAACATTCTATCTAGGCGCCATCCTAAGGTGAGGAATCTGTTAATAAAATTAAATTGCTTCTTCACTAGATAATAAAGCACCTCCATTAACTGTTGTGAGCAATCCCAGTCCTTTCTGTAATGCATACGCCATCACACTATCTCATTAAAACTAACAGTTACTGTATTTACTGCAATAGGGGAAGAATAAGAAAATGGGTTTTTTAAGAAAAGTCATGAAAGCATTTACTAGGTTCACAATGAAGTATTCTGAAGCTTGCAGCTGAACTAAATTACCTAATTATTTAATAAAATTTATAGGTCTACATATTTTAAAATGTCAAGTTACATAAAATAAGGTGCATTATGGATCCTGTAATTTTCACTACTAATCTGATATACAATATATACAACTTCAAGAATTATCTACTGCAAAAAAGAAGGTCCATTTTTAAACATGAATGACTCAAAAAAATCATGATGTAATATTTATATCATGCAATCAAAATATTCACCTTTCAGCAGAAATGACTACAGTCCATTATCAATTTCTCATAGACTGATTATAATTTAAAGATTAAACTCTATCTCTCACTCTTATAATAGGAAATGGTAAGACAGGCATAAATTTTTATCTTTATTTGCAATCTATTTTAAAAACAAGGTGTCAAAAATAAAAAAATAGGGGCGCCTGGGTGGCGCAGTTGGTTAAGCATCCGACTTCAGCCAGGTCACGATCTCGCGGTCTGTGAGTTCGAGCCCCGCGTCAGGCTCTGGGCTGATGGCTCAGAGCCTGGAGCCTGTTTCCGATTCTGTGCCTCCCTCTCTCTCTGCCCCTCCCCCGTTCATGCTCTGTGTCTCTCTGTCCCAAAAATAAATAAACGTTGAAAAAAAAAAAATAAAAAAATAAAAAAAATAAAAAAATAAAAAAAATAAAAACAAGGTGTCTATTCACATGATCTGTGTTAACAACTGAACCAGAAATAAGTTGGACCAACCAAGTTTAGACCACTCTCATGTAAAATGCTTTTCATAATAGGTGTATGGTGTATTTAACAATAAAAAATAATCTAAATCCCTAAGTACTC